AGTAGGCGGGGGTGGGGGGGCGGAGGCGGCAGGGCGTGGAGTAGAGCTGCGTCTGGGGAGGGCCGCGCCCCGAGAGAGCTGACACCGCCTCGCTCGCCGGCCCCTCCCCCCGTCACTCCCAAAACCTCTAACCTGAAAGTTTGGTCACTGGAGAAAGGGACACATGACCTCTGCAGCTTACTGGCCCCGCCTCGCTCGCCGACCCTGAACCCAGACCCCCCACCCCCACCCACTGCTCCCCGCTTCTGGCTGCTTCTCCCTCACCTCTCCTCCCTTGACCCAAAAATTTGTATCCTGGGACACAAGAGATAGGGACTCATGACCTCGGCAGTCGCCTGGGCCTGAGTCGCTCGGTGACCCTGGGGCCATACCCTCTCCGGCAGCCCACCGCTGTTGGCTGCCCCCCATCCTGGGTAACCCCCAAAACTTCTAACCTGAAAGTTTGGGCATTGGAGAAGGGGACACATGACCTCCGCAGCCTCCTTGGCCCGAGTCGCTCACGAACCGTGGAGCCAGCACCCCGTACGCTGTGCACTAAATACAGTGAATTATGCTATATGTAGATCACACCTTACTTAAAAAATTGAAAGGGGGAAAACAAACCCTAGAAAAATTGTGTTTGTAGACCCAAAACAAGGCTTTAGAGCTGTGCTGTCCAATTTGGAAGCCACATGTAACTACTTAGATTGTAATTAAGATTAAATGAAATGAAGGAGTCAGGTCCTCGGTGGCACTAGCTACATTTCAAGTGCTTAGTAGCTACATGTGGCTGGTAGGTACCACACTGGACAGTGCAGATAAAGAATATTTCCGTCACTGGAGAAAGTTCTATTGGATAGTGCTGCTCTAGAGAACGGGATGGGACTGGGCTTCTCCTCAGCCCTCTCCTCCCTTTTCCTTCCAAAGTCAGGGAATCATGCTTCTGGGCAACGTGTCCCTGGCACATAGTGGCTGCCCAACAAGAAGCTCCCCAACAAAGAAACAATGAAAGAGATGTTCCCTGCCTTAAGCCAAAGGGGTCCTTGCTTTTGTCTGTTGTTCCTCGGTTAGTATGAGCAGGGCAGCAGAGTGTAGCCCCATCACAAGAGGGGAGCCTCACGGAAATTCCTCTACTCTAGGACTAGCTGAATCTGAAGGTGGGTGGATGAAGCTGGGGAGAAGCCTCACAATCTGAGAGCTGCTGGTCCACACTAGAATCTTAGTGAGCCTGGAGCTCAGCAACTACTTTGGTGAATGACTGGGGAACCCAGACCATTCTTCTGTCTTATCACAATCTGCTTCTTTTTCCCGTTCCCAGAGTGTCACTTCCTACTGCTTCTGTATTCTTCTTGGATCCTTCCTGCATCCCCGATACGGTTTCCTGCCGGTTCACTGAGTCCCTAGGATTTCACATCACACAGTGCTGGGACTTCTGACCATTAGTGAAAGGGACTGCACTGTTGCATCCCTGCAAAAGACAGAGCAAAAGTGTGTGTGAGTGTGCATATGTGTGTGTATGCATATGTGTATGTAGTGTGTATGTGTGAATGTATGTGCATTTGTGTATATGGGTGTGTATGTGAGTGTGTGAGTGGACATGTGTATCTGTATGTGTATCTGTGTCTATGTATGTGTGTGTGAGTGGATGTGTGTGTGTATGTGTATGTGTGTGAGTATATGTGTGTTTGTGTTTGTGCTTCTATGTGTGCATGTGTGTGAGTGTATGTGGGAGTGTGGGAGCAGATGTATGTATCTGTGGATGTGTATCCGTATGAGTGTGGATGTGTGTGTGAGTGGATGTGTGTGTGTGCTTCTATGTGTGTGTGTGTGAGTGGGTGTGAGTGTGTGAGTGGATGTATGTTTGTGTGGATGTGTATCTGTATGAGTGTGGATGTGTGTGAGTGTATGTGTGTGTATGCAAGTATGTGTGTATGAGTGTGTATGAGTAGATGTGCATCTGTTTATGTGCATGTGTTTCTGTGTGAGTATGTGGATCTGTGTGAGTATGAGTACGTGAGTGTGTGGGGGAGAATAATCCCCACAGAAAAAATGCCCCACAGAAACATTTCCTTGCCCATTTGAGACCATACCCTAAAGACCTAAGAGAGATGACCTCTGTTCCCTCAGCTTGCTTGGAACAGGCAGACTTGTTTTTCTTATACAGCCTATCTCCAGCCACGCTGTCATTTAGAACTCATACATAGTTCTTAAACACCAATTCAGGAAAAGATATGTCTGACTCTGACACCACAGGAAATGTGTTCAAAGCATGGGTGAAAAATACTCTCGACAGAACACATTGGTATTGGAACTTAGAAGAAATGTTGTATTACTTACCTATTGCTGTGAAACAAATTACTCTAAAACTTAGCAGCTTAAAACAATAAGCATTTATTATGTCACTGTTTCTGTGGGTCAGGAATTAGGGAATGACTTAGCTGGGTGATTCTGGCCTGGGGTCTCATGAGGTTGTGGTCAAGATGTTGGCTGGGGCTATGTCATCTGGAAGTTGACTGAGTCTGGGGGATCTACCTCCAAGGTGGCTCACCCATGTGCCTGGCAAGCTGGTTCTGGCTGTTGGCAGGACGCCTCAGTTCCTTAGAATGTGGGCTTCTCTGAAGGGCTGCTTGAGTGTCCTCGCAACATGACGGCTGGCTTCTCTCAGAGTGAAAAAATTCCTGGTTGTTCTTGCGTGCCGTCAAGTCAATTCCGACTCATGGTGACCCTATAGGACCCTATATAGAGTAGAGCTGCTCCATAGGGTTTCCTAGGCTGTAATCTTTACGGTAGTAGAGTGCCACATCTTTCTACCGTGGAGCAGCTGATGGGTTTGAACCACCAATCTTTTGGTTAGCAGCTGAACACTTAACCACTGGTGCCACCAGGGCTCCCTGTAAAGATTACAGCCTAGGAAACCCTATGGGGCAGTTCTACTCTGTCACATGATGTCATTAAGAGACAAAACGGACTTGATGGCACCCAACAATGATAATTTCCAATATGGTGGCCACTAGCCATTGCAGCTATTGAGCACCTGAAATGTGGCTAGTCGAAGTTGAGATGTGCTGGAAGTATTAAAAATATACACTAGATTTTGAAAACTTAGTATGAAAGCAAAAATATAAGCTATCTCATAAAGGGCAGTGGTGGTTTAGTGGTAGAATTCTCCCTTTCCACGTGGGAGACCAGGGTTCAATTCCCAGCCAATGCACCTCATGCGTAGCCACCACCTATCTGTCAGTGGAGGGTTGTGTGTTGCTATGATGGTGAACAGGTGATGCTGAACAGGTTTCAGCAGAGCTTCCAGACTAAGACTGACTAGGAAGAAAGGCCTGGAGATCTATTTCTGAAAATCAGCCAGTAAAAAACCTATGGATCTTAATGGTCTGATCCACAACTGATCATGGGGGTGGCACAGGACTAGGCAGCGTTTCTTTCCATTGTGCATGGGGTCACCATGAGTCGGGGGCCAGTTGGACGACAGCTAACCACCACAACAAAGCTATCTCATTAACAATTTTTATACCGATTACAGTTGGAAATGAGAATATTTGGGATATACTGGGTAAAGTAAAATGTTACTAAAGTTAATTTTGCCTGTTTCTTTTTGCTGTTTTAATGCAGCTTCCAGAAAATCTGAAATGACTTACATGACTCATTTGTGGCTTGTATTAAAGTTGTATTGGGCAGTGCTGTTATAGACTAATAAAACTTTTTTGTCCCAATAGTCATTTTTGTCTTAACAACAATGCTTTGAATTTGTCTTTTAACAGAGCATGGTCTCATAAATGTCAGTTTAGTTGTCTTAGCGCCATTTTTATTTCTCTTTTAGTTGTTAGAGTAAGTTGTGTAAGTTTTTATGTCCAAGGGGTTCAGAGCTTGTAGCTGTAACAGCCTAAAGGGGACTAGAAGAGACAGGGAATGCATGGAATATTTAGAATATCTGGGGAACACAAAATATTTGGGAAGCACATGGAATATCTGAGGAACAATGGAATATTTGGGGGGCACATGGAATATTTGGGGAGCAATGGAATATTTGGGAAGTAACACTGTCTCTGCCTCAGAGTTCTTTGGTTTCAAGCCACAGAAACCAACTCTGGGCAACTAAACAAAAAGAGAGTTTTTGGAACGACACCAGGTTGTTCACAGACATGAAGAAAGCTGACATCCAGGGTTCAGAAAGGGCAGGAGCCAGGCCGCTGGAGGGATTTAGTGGCAAAAACTAAAGGCCGGTCTCTCAGGATGCCCCCCCTCCCCGGGATTAATCAGCTCCCGCCTTTCCCCCTTCTTGCATCATTCCATAGGAGGGCTGAATCCTCTGGAGGGGGAGGCTGGATGGCTCGGGATGGGGTCTGGGCCAGGTCTGGGCCAGGCGTGGGCAGGCGCCATGGTGGGCAGACCCTGCAGAGGGCTGGTCCTGCCTGGAAGGGAGGTCTGGCTGCTGTCAGCATGGAGGAGGGAGTACTGAG